CAGCACCCTGCATTCAGCTGCTCCTCTCAGTGTACGGCTCTCCCTTCTGCAGGACCACCACACACCCCAGCACGCACTACTCACTAGCTGTTTCAGCTTAAGTTCTGTCTCCTTGCAGAGGCCTCACTGACTGGTCTGTGTAGATCTCTCCTTCTGTCTCCTTCCCACCCCTTAGTGTTTCATGCATGGTCTTTGTCATTATTTTTATATTTATTATTTATTCTTATTATTTTTTTTTTGTCCCCTTCCAAGTTTAGGCTTCCCAAGGGTAGAGAGTACACATACTCAGCAATTAGTGCAGGGCTAGGTCATGGGGACCATAAATACTTTTTGAAAGACTGAGAATGTTTGGATTGCTTTAAATAAATTTCACATAAACCATATAAATTTGATACCTGATAGGGATTACATGTTTGAGAATCTGTTTTCTGAAAACACCTAATCAGGCGGCTGAAAGGTTTATATGTGCATGTATATATGTATATATATGTGTATATGTTTATATACCCATATGTTATATGTATATATTATAGTTACAGTATATAATATGGAGTGCCAAAAAATGTATACACATTTTATGTGCTATTATCTATGTATGACTTTTCAAAGTTGAATTGAATGACCTCGGCACTGTGTAGTATGATGTTCACTCAGGAGTTGCCATTAATCACACGAATGCTGGTGTCACCATGTGACGGGCAGGACAGAGAAAATGGCAGAAGCATGGTTGTCCTTCAGAGCCCGAGACCACTGTGAAATGGCATTTGAAATCTGAGAACTTGTGGAAGTACAGTGACAATGCAAGTGTAGGTGGGGGCCCTTAAAGGATGTGCACCATAGAAAAGCAGCTATGCTGGTGGTGCCTTGGAAAGAAATTGAAACAGCTTGTGCAGCATACGAGGGCCACTTTGGTGAGTGCTGCACAAGCCGTCGTTTGCCCTACTCCATTGTGCCTGCTGAGGGTGACCACTCTGAGCACCTCTTGTAGTCGCAGAAGTCAAATGTGACTTGTATTCATCTTTTGTTATCGATATATATTGAGTATTATACTTTTAATACATTTTTTTCCTTTCTTAAAATGGCTTTCCATCCTTTTGACCACTAACTTCTTCTGAGTCATTTTTTTGCTGACAATAAGTAGCTTGTGTTTGAATGATACAGAGCGTTGATAGTGGCTCTGGGCTTCTTTCAGAAATTCCCAAGAGATAGAAAGATAGTTAAGATCCTTTCATAGTAGGATAGTTGCAATAACAAAACAGAATTAAACCAACTTTAGGTTTTATCAATTTTGAATACTTTGCAGATAATATCCCATATACTTGGTAATTGATTTGCAGGATTTTTTTTTTCTCTTGAACTAGTTTTGTAGGGTTTGGTGTTGTGTGGTTTACACATAAACATACCACTTGTGTAGGATTCTGCTGGAAGATTTTGATAATACCAATCTTCAATATTTATGGAATGTTTTTAGTACATAAAGATAACAGGAATGGAAAGTATTGCATGTTAATAATGTACCTTATGGATTTCTTGTTTTAGACGTTATGTAGGTAATTATAAGTGAGGAAACAATGTCAGACTGAGAGTCTATTCCTTCTAGCTATAAAACATTGGTTTAGGTGTAAAGAGGTACTTACTATATTTAGCTTTTTGGCTGTTTAAAATTGATACATTTGTTTGCCATTGAGAAAGAAGCAGAATTCTTTAGTTTAATCTATTAAACTTTAAAAATATCCAATTTAAATGTATGTAGGGTTTGTGATAATCAACCTTTGATATATTTAGTTGTATACAAAAATACCTTAATCTTTTAAATAAAATAGTTTGACCATTTTTAATTTGGGTTCCTAATAATTTGAACGAATACATTATAAAAATAATTGGTTAGATAGTCTCAATGTATTCATCAACACTTGTCTTTTAAAGTTGCACTATTGAATAGTTTTATCTTTAAATTTAGATTCTTGAAGATCTGGATGAACAAATTTATATCATTACTTTAGAAGAAGAATCACTCCATAGACGACTAAATGGTATGTATATGTCACGTGTTTAGACCAGAATAAAAAACTTTTTAATTCAAAAAATACAGACATTTGAAAGGAAAAAATGTAATCCTCTCAGTATCTTGTGCTGTTGAGAGAGGTGAAGACTTAAGAGTAATAAGGCAGCTTCTCTGTGATGAAAGTTTGCTGTAGGCCTTGGCTGCAGTGAGCTGAATCTGGCAAGGCCTGTTTCATCCTGACACGTTGGCCTGGAGGGACTAGGTATCCCTCTCCTTCCAACTCCCCAGACCCTTGGCATATGTGGCTTAACAGTTGCTAAGGTAATGCAGATTTCCATGTTGTCTTAGTGATTGGGATATCCCTATTTCATTCCCTTTGTTGAAATCTTTACAATAAAAAGTAATGTGCTTCTTTGATATTAAGGTATCAGATTTGCCTCTTAAAGTTTTAACTCTGTTGTTATTTGGGAATACTGTTAATTATCAGCTGCTGATCAAGTAAGCATGTCATAGATTTTAAAGTTTAATCTTTAAAACTGATCATTTTTGGCTTTTGGGCAAAGTCCCTTTACTTTTACTCAAGTGATTTTCACTCTGCACTTTTTTTTCTTCATAATCTTTTTTTAAAAGAATGTTGTAATTACCTACATAGTATAACATTATTGGGGTGATGGGTATACCAAAAGCCCAGGGTCCACCAATATTTAATATATACACATAATGGATTTCAACTTGCATCCCCTAAATCTATTAAAATAAAAAATAAAAATTTTAAAAAAGTTGAAAAACCACCTGTCTTCCACCAAGATGAGATTATTAATAGCTAACTGTATTTCAGAATCATAATTTAAAAGTGGGTATGGAGTGGAAAATTAAATATAAAATATTTAGAGATAGGAAGAAACACACCTACTTTCTTTAATTTTAAGTAGTGAATTTAAATAATTTATTCTTAGAGCTAAGAATTTCAGTTTGTACCTAATCTGGAGAATTCTTGTCAGTCATGTTATATAGCTTGATACAGATAAACTTTTGGACTGGAATGATATATTTCTTTTATTGTTCTAACTTTATTAAAGCTACTTTAACATTTAAGCCCATTTGATTTCAAAATTATAAACCAGTTAATAACAAAGATTCCTGTGATGTGCATCACACATTCCAAACAGGCTGAAGAAAGCACACTCAGTGCGTCATTGGAAAAACACTACCAATGTTCCTGATGTTTAATTGCAGCAATAATATTATAACAAATTCATCTTGTTAGATAATCATGCTATTGTGTGATGAACGTGTCAGACTGCCCTCTGCAGTGTGGTCGCATCTCAGCCGCAGATGCGCCCCCTGCAGTGTGGTCATATCTTAGCCTCGGTGTACCCCCTGCAGTGTGGTCACTTTTCAGCCTCTGGTGCACCCCCTGCGGTGTGTGTGGTTGCTTCTCAGCCTCAGGTGCACCCCGTGCAGTGTGGTCTGGTCTCAGCCTCAGGTGCGCCCCCTGCAGTGTGGTCTGGTCTCAGCCTCAGGTGCGCCCCCTGCAGTGTGGTCTGGTCTCAGCCTCAGGTGCGGCCCCTGCGGTGTGGTCTGGTCTCAGCCTC